TAATAATAATAATAATAATAATAAAATGATTTTTTTTTCAATTAAAAAAAATAATTCAACAATACAAACACGAGTCTTTTTATCGTTGAAATCTGCACATTTGTGTGTTTTACTGTTAAATATTGTTTATTTGATGTCGTTTTGTCCAGATGTGCGTTAATCATAAAACACATTAAACAACGTTCACGGCTTCAGTCAATAAACTTCATTTTAATTTCACTAACTGACATGAACGTCACTGCAGTCACATAAATATTTGCTTCGTTTGCTGGTTTCTGCTGCTTTTAGACACGTTGTGATGATTTATTGTTCAGGATTATTGTTTATTTTTATCCTGTCAATGTGCTTTTTTGTTTTGTTTGTTTTCTTAAAGCTTCGACTCGTTTTTCTGAATTGATGCATTTTTACAGAAATATACAGAAAATATTTTATCCTAGTTGATGAATAAACTCGATCATTTCTTTGGACCTCCATCGTTAATTAAAAACTTAATTAACAGTGAAAATGTGTCAAATTATAAAACTACTGGAACGTCTTCATGTTTGATGGATTCATGATACGTGAAGAGAATCATCATAATTTTAACTAAAATTAAAAATAATAATAAAAGTGTTTTAAAAATAAATGAATTAATTGTGCTCATAGGTTGGATTAAAGTATTTATTTTATTTTGTTTTATTTTATTTTAACCATTAACACGTGTTGGACTTGGAAAGAAAATCAGTTTATTTCTCTTCGGTTGTTTTTCTGCAGTTTGATTCAAGCATTTAAATAAAAATAATGATGATAAACAAACACCATCGTCATCGCTGTCAGAAGGAAAAGCTCGTTTCTTTAAAGACATGAAGGTTTTAAATGTTTTTGTTTAAAGTTATTTGACTTAATTATGTGAAATGAAATTCGTTCACGGTCCAGACTGTCGATGAGCGTCTTTAAAAAGCTGAAGAGGTTCATTTTATTTTAGAAAAAGCCATGAATCCGTGTTATTGTTGTTGTTGGTCAGAACCAGGAGCTGCTGGCGTTACGTAACGTCAGTATAACGTCCATCAAACACTCAGAAACACCAACAGTCGTGTGTGATGAGAATTATTGGCTTTTATGTGATTTTACTGCAGCCGACTAAACTAAATACTCATCAGTGTAAAACAATAAATCTCCCATAAATCCATAAAGACGCAGATAATTCCTCTCCAGGAGGCGGCGGGAAGGTTTCTGCTTGAGGCCCTCGTTAGCTCGACGGACCTCACGGGTCCAGAGTCTGGAGGCAAAAACAACAACGACTTGGGTTCTGGTCAGCAGGACTCAGAAACCCAACGAGTCGAGTCGAAGGAACCAGAACCTCAAACCAAACTCTCAGTGATGGAAGCAGGGAGGAGGTCGGGGTGGATGGACGGGTCCAGAGACGAAACCTGTTTGATTATCGGTTCAGATCGACGCTGCTTCTGTCCCTGAACTGAACACAGCACGAAACAGTTGTGCTTTATCTTCAGCCACCAGCTCATTCAGAACATCCATCCATCATCTCTACACCTTCATCCT